CATTCACAATATGGAATAATATTGAAACCATGAACCATGTGTATAAAAAATAAATAAATAAAGTAAAAGTAAATAGAAAAAGTCCCAAGTCGAAACACGCTCTATAGAAAACGGCATACCTCCTATGTATCTTAACTCCCCGTACAGTATATTTAAACTCCCCAAATTAGTGAATGAACTCATAACCAGAACAGAACATGACATCAGATCTCTTTACCTGTAGAGACCGACATTTTTCAAAGGTAGGAAAACATCTCCATCAGTCCAAGGAACTGTAATTGTTTGCAAGGAAATGTTAACTGAGGTAATTAACTTGTAAGTAAATAAATGAAGTCCTCCGTGTCATCATCCTAGTAAGCCAAGTCCCTTTATGTATTCTATAGACTTTGACTAAGCATCGTTACAAGCATACATAAACCAAAATACCACAATCTTAGATTCAGTCAGTATAACGGTCACGTTCTTCTACAAGGAAGAACCAGTGCGGACCGACGATACAAAGTCCTCTGCCTCTGTCAGCAACATGAAAGATTTCCTATTTCCATCCTGCGTTCTGATGAAAAGTCTACTTTTTGTAGGCTCTCCCCTTTTCTCAGTGTGTGCTCCCTCCGTGCATGTGGTCTCAGGCACCTGTTCCACTTCTACTTCTCTCCTCTGCACTGCGGTCTCTGTTACTCCAACAGCTCTGGTTGTACAGTTGTAGTTTCCCTTTGGGATGCTAGGGCCTATGGTGCTGGCACTGCGAGCTCTGGTGAGCTAGGAAGTGGGCTCTGTTTCTCCTAAGTTCCTCTGTTCCTGCCTGAACTATGTAGGACCTTGGTGTATTTACTTTGCCAAGCACCGTTGCTGGTTGTCGTGATTTGGAGATCCATACTGCTTGTCCTGGTTTCAGCTCAGGCCTCGCAGTGGCTTTGTGTCTCCTGTTGAAGTTCAGTGTCTGTGTCATTTTTAGCAGTTCGTTTTTTTTCTCTGAATACTCGTCTGTTCGGCCATCGTGGAGATCTCAATTTCTGGCCCATTAACATTTCAGCCAGTGAGGGCCCATGTAGCAGCGGTGTGACTCTGCAGGCCAACAGTGCACGGTGAGGATCGTGATTCTTTAGCAGCAACCTCTTGATTGTTTTCATGGCCTTTTCTGCCTCCCCATTGCTTGGCTAAAGTATGGGCTACTGGTTATATGAATAAAATCGTAATCTGCATCAAAGGCTAAAAACTGGGCTGTGAATTGTGGGCCATTATCACTTATTAGTGTTTCTGGCACTCCATGCCTAGAGAAAATGGCCTTCAGGGCTTTAATTACACCTTTAGCTGCAGAGACAGGAATCTTTTCAATTTCAATATACCTTGAGAAGTAGTTGACAACCAAGAGGTAGGTTGTGCCCTTCTACAAGAACAGATCTGCCGCCAGTTTTTGCCAGGGCAATCCAGGTAATGGGGATGGTATCATAGGTTTTGTGTGCTGGGGTTGATGTTTCAAACATATCTCACACTGTGCAACTATTTTAACGATTTGGCTAAATCGCTCAGAAGTCTCAGACGGAATCTTTGAATCCTGGGGGGTAAGTCATCCAGTGCCTTTGTTCCCAGAAGGGCCAGCAGTGGCTTGTGGTCTGTCTCTATAGTAAAATGGAGGCCAATCAGGAATGAGTCTTTCACAAGCCCATGTTACTGCCAATGCCTTTCTCCACCTGGGCATACCTCTGTTCCGTCTCAAAAAGAGTTTGTGAAATAAAATCCACAGGACGCCATTATTTGTCATTCTGCATCTGGGTAAGGAATGCTCCTAATCCAAAAGAGGATGTGTCAGTGGACACTTTTGTTTTTGCATTTGGCTTGTATTGTGCCAATACTTGGGTTGATGTCAAGTCGGATTTGACCTTTTCAAAAGTGGCTTACCGCACACTTCCCCACAGCCAGTCGTTCTGCTTGGCTAATAGATCACGTAGTGGTTTTGTATCATCGGTGAAATGAGGTTTGAACTTACTCATGTATGTGGCCATGCCCAGGAAACATCTAACATCTGGCACATTTGTTCAATCCCAACATGACACGGTATCTTTGGAAGCGTATGATCCATCTTGGCCACTCTTTGCCATCAGCACAATCGAATTTGTCAGGAGCGCTGACAGGAAAACTCTCAGAGTGAGTGCAAGTTGGCGCTTCGTTCTCAGACATCATGTAAACAATATAAAGTTCGTTGCCATTCAGTAAGCTGTCTTTGGCCGTCGGGAGAGCATCAGACGTGTTTGTCTAATATCCTTATCTTGTTTTTTTATCACTCCTTCGGACACCATGTAGTAATAAATCCACAACACACGGCTAATACAATGGATTCTGTTTACTGAACTTCACGCATACGTGTAACAACTACAGGTCCCATTGTGGGACTAGAGCCTCACCTAGGGTCTTTATCTATACTGTGTTTATGGACGACATGTAATACAAGCATGTCCCATCCGTCTTCCCAGACCTTTGGTGAGTATAGTTTCATCTTCACAAATCAGTCAAGACCTGTTAACCACCATTGTAAAACTTAATATTGCTTGCCACTTTGTTTGAGTGCCTGCACTCCTTGAATATGGGTTAGCCTGCAACTTCATCTCAGGATATGAGATGTGCCTCCAGCTCAATAAAAGGCCCAGTGACATCTCCGTACAAAGTCCTATGCATAACTGGGAATTCGACACTGCTTGGGTCCTTTATAACTCTAATTTGGCCAGTTACACACACTGAGAACATCTGCTTCCTGGTTCTGGAGAATTCCACCTCTGGGATTGTATCAGGACACCCATGGCTTGTTTCACATAATCCCATTCTGTCTTGGTCAAGTGGAGAAGTCCTGAAGTGGAGTAATGATTGTGTCCCTCGTTGTTTCCTACAACTGTGGGAAGATCAGCTTCCTCTTCCGTTCCTGTGATCTCCATGAACTCCACTTTGATAGAAAGGCCTCTAGAGCAGGGGTGGTCAATGTGAGCCTGCAATAGCTTTGTCCAAATACCCACACTTGCGGTCTTTGCACTTGACCACTTGACTACTTATATGATGTATTTCCTGTATTTGGCCCAAGTGTTCAAGTGAGCATGAAGACCACAAGTGTGTGTCGAACTTTTCATTACCTGATTGGACACACTTGTAGTGTGGTAAAAATGCAAGTGTTTACATAGCTTTATTTAAATTTTAGCTTTATTTTAAAATCAACTTCTAAATGTCTGTTCAGTAGTCCCTATAACATGACAATTTTAATTTGTGGTGCTTCTAATTAAGTGATAAAAAGCAGTTTTTAAGGGCACTGCGCTCTGGCGTTTTTAAGACCTGGGACAGTCTTGCGCACTTACTTCCTGTCGCGCGCACGCGCTCTCAAGTGGCCAAGACCGCAAGTGTGGGTATTTGGACAAGGGGAGAGTTTTGCTCCAGCCCTAATCAAACACACCTGAACAAACTAATCAAGGTCTTATGATTACTAGAATGCTACAGGCGGGTGAGTTTTTAATCAAGGGCTGCATTCCACTCCACTTTTAGACACGCACTCGCAAACGTCCCTAAGCACTTCCCCTCGAGGGAATCCCCGCTGCCATTTTGAAGTGTGTTCCACTTCGTGAAGTGGACGAGGGAAGTTTATATGGACAGACCCTCGACCCCTCGATTTTGACCGAGGGAACGAGTCTGCTTCATATGCACACTTCAGGCCGCTCCATAGACCACAATGCAACACGATTGTGACGTTATCGCAGATCGCGTTTAATTTATCCCTCCCCCCAAACAACTCTATAATATATAAATGTTTTTTTTACATTTATAACAGCCCAAACATATCTATATACATATAGAATGCAGCACCAAACAAATTCATAAGGGAAAAAATTTAAACAATAAACCAACCCCATAGCTGATTCTAAGTGATCAAGGGCTTAGGACGTTCCAGTTCAGACCATTCCAAGGGTTCCGCCAGAAGTGGGCACTCATGTAACGTAATCAATGACGTACATCAGAGTAAACGAGATGGAGGGAAGTTTGCGAGTAAAGGGCATAAAAAAAATGGACTGGAATGCAGCCTAGTTTGGAGCAAACCATCAACATCCCCTACTGCTTTGAGATTTTTCTTTGTTGCCAAGAAAGAATGAGGCTTTGCATAGACTATCAGGCACTAAATAAGATTACCATCAAGTTCTGCTATCTATTCCCTTTCGTCCTGGCCAATCTGGAAATGCTTTGCGTAGCCACCATCTTCACCAAGCTGGACCGCCGAAGCGCCTATATCCTCATCCAGATATGTGAGGGGGATGAGTGGAAAACAGATTCATCCATAATACAGTTCCATCACCTCTCCACTCATGAATCTCCCCCAAAGGCAGGCCCAAGTCTCTGTCCTGGACCTCAGAAGCAACCAAAGACATGCTCACTCTCCAGTGAACCTTCACATCTTCTCCATTCTTGGTTCAACCAGAACCTGATAAATCCTTCATCAATATCTGGAGTTGGAGCACTGTTATCTCAGCAGCAGGGACAGCCCCCTTGACTTCATCCATGTGCCTAAGTTGAGTAGCTAGTCTATAACTGACTGATTGAATACACGTGTTGATATGCGAATATATAAAGCTGAAATGTTTCAAAAGAATGCTAACAGAATGGGAAATGTTTGTTGTGGATTTTAAATGCGCTAAGTTATTTTTTGCACTTGTAACAATAAAAGAAGATGCTAGTATCTCGGCATGTGATCCTCTTTTAAGTATGAATTCCAAGTATTTTTTTTTAAGGAATTTGTTTGTAACTTGGAATCAGGTTACATGTGTATTGATAAGTGCACAAGATCATAGTTTTCACATTTTTCACATCAGTTTTTTTTCCTGTTGCACTGTATACATATATTGTGAACTACAAAAATGTAAAAAGCATTTTTTATTTACCTTGAAAAAAGCTTGAAAAAATATTTATTATTATAACTATTATTATTATTATTATTATTTTCAACTTGTTCTTTAAATTTCAGACCTACTGGGATGTTTGCTGAAATTGATGAATGTGGCACAGTCCTAGTACAATTTCCAACAGCCTATTGCCAAGGTCAAGCAAGTACACCAGATCGGTTGATTTCTTGATTTATAACCCATGTAGTCCTGAAAATGAATTAATAATAAACAAGTTATACATATAAATTATAAACAAGTCTTATATTACAACTCAGAAAAAATTGTTTTAAAAGTATTTTAACGATATTTACAATAAGTATGCAGGCTCCCAGTACAGTTGCTTTCATTTTGACATCCAGGTTGCTTGGAAACCTCAGAACAAAACCTGCACCTGCATTTGGTCCACTGCTTGAGACAGGTTTCAAGATCGTGCCAAATGATCTTTCTGTCGCTGCCTCATTCAAAGACAGCAGCTGTGATCACAGTATAAGACAGGTAATAATAACACACATTAACACAATAAGCATTCAAGCAAGTTGGTTACTACAGTATTCCATTTTTCTTTAATATTATATTTTCGCTAATATTTTAATATAAAAACATATCAAACGTTTTTTTTTTCCCCTGTTCAGAAAACCGTTTCCACAGTACCAGATTTACAACTTGAGCTTCCAGCTGATCTGCAGTAACACTTAACAATAAGCTTATATGAGCTAACTTATATGAGGCTTTCCTGTCCTAAACATATCTTCCATAAAAAAGGGCCATTTGACATTCCTGAGGTGCTGATAGTGATCAAGACCTGTAGGCCAAGATGTGTATACTTTGGGGGTCTGCTAATTGTCAAATCTTTGACAGTTGAGTCAGTGAGTGAAGCTGTAATCTGCTGATTGGTCAGTTTGAATGTCTCACATTTGGTTTTTAGTCACATGGTCAAGTATGGGATAAAAGAAGATTGTAACTGTTGGTCTGTGTCTTTTCTTGGCTGGCAATCTCTCTTTTCTTTGCTGACATTCTCTCCCTGTCTTTTTCCCTCTCTCTACCCCCAGCAGGTGGTGATGAGAATGTCACATGATGAACCAAAGCTTATCACAAGCAGTTTTTCCGCAAGCTGAGAAGAAAAGTACTAACATATATACAAAGTGCATTCACACAAACACTAAACATCATCATGGTAATGCAATAATGCAATAAACATTTCATTTTAAAACGAATTTTATTAGATGTAACATACAACCCTAATGTACACAACTGATAAGAAAAACACTAAGAAGAAACAAATATTTAAAAGAAAAAAATAACTTCAAATATGAAATAACTGTCACAGATCAAGCTGGAGACAACAGGTTAGTGAATGAAATAGCAGGTTTATTGATAGGAATGGATGTGGCAGATTGGCTGAAGCAAAGGCGGGTGAGTATCCAACACAATTGACAGTTCTTAAAAATATCCAGAATAAAAGGTAAATATGATAAAAATCACCAAAAAAATAATAGAAAAACCTACATAAAAAATTAGAAAAAAAATTAGAAAAATGTTCCAATATAAGCTTTCTGGACCAAAAATAAAATTAGTATAATTTTTGGTCTTCGGGTCATTTTGACCAGCGAGGGACACTTTTGTTATAGGTTCGGGAGGGACAGATGAAGGGCTAATGATACTTAGTTGAGTTCTGAAGATAGGTTTATTTGCAGGTATGCGGAGGGTATGGGATCCAGGAGCAAAGGAGATCAACATAGGAGGAATCTTGGGAATCTAAGGGCAAGTAGAGACAGGTAAGTAGCATATAGCGAGTCTGGTAAAGTTCAGGGTAGTGAATGGTAGACCGGACAGTGAGTGACTGGAAGGAGCATGCTTTTGAATGGTGGCTTGATTGCAGATGACAGGTACGAGGAATCAGAACTCAGGTGAATGTGATCTGGTGTAAGTTGTGGCAGATTGTGGTGACTCGCTGACATTACCCCCTCCTCCAGGGGCAGCTCCTGACACCCTCAAGCGGCGACGGGGGCGACCACGGGCTCTGGGTGCGGGACGATTTGAATTGGTCTGATGGAACTCTCCTAGCAGAGTGGGGTCAAGAACGTCGTCCCGGGCCACCCAGGATCTTTCCTCTGGTCCATATCCTTCCTAATCTACCAGGTATTCTAGCCGGCCGCCCCGCCGCCGCGAATCCAGGATTTCATTGACCTGGTAGACTGATGGCTGTTCGAGGATCTTTGGAGGAGGAGGCTCCGCTGGTTCCGTGAGTTCTGGTGCAGAAGGAGCAAAGGGTTTTAGGAGGGATACGTGAAAGGTGGGGTGAATTCTGTACCTGGGTGGAAGTCGGAGCTGGTAGGTGACCTAATTTATCTTCCTCTATATCGGGAACGGACCGATGTAGCGGGGACTCAGCTTCTTGCAAGGCAGGCGGAGGCGCAGATACCGGGTTGATAGCCATACTTGTGCTCCAGGTTGGTAAGTGGGAGTCGAGGAACGCTGGGCATCGGCGAAGGTTTTGTGCCTCCGCACTGCACGTTGAAGGTGGACGTGAGCTGAGTCTCACACTCTCTCGCTCGCTCGGAGCCAGTAGTCCACAATTGGGACCTACGATGGTTCTTCGGTCCACGGGAAGTGTGGGGGTTGGTAGCCGAGTATGCACTGGAAAGGTGTGAGTCCGGTGGTGTTTTGTCGGAGGGAGTTTTGTGCATACTCGGCCCATGGGAGGAAGTGGGCCCAGCTGTGCTGGTCATCTTGGCAGTATGCCCGGAAGTAATGTTCCTGGATCTTGCGCTCAGTCTGGCCGTTAGTCTGGGGATGATAACCAGAGGACAGGCTCACTGTGACCACAAGCAATTGAAAGAACGCTTTCCAAACATGGGAGATGAATTGCGGGCCCCGGTCCGAGACGATATCCTCCAGGACTCCGTAATTCCTGAAGACATGTGTGAAGAGCGAGTCGGCAGTTTCTAGCGCTGTGGGTAATCCCTTGTGGGGAATCAGCCTGTAGGCTTTTGAAAAGCGATCTACTGCCACTAGAACGCAGGTGTTGCCTTCGGAGTTGGGTAAGTCAGTTACGAAATCTATCCCAATGTGAGACAAGGGCAGCTGAGGTATGGGTAGTGGCATGAGCTTGCCTACGGGGAGGTGATGAGGAGATGGCACAGACATGGCACAGACTGAGCACCCTCGAACGTACCTGATGACATCACGGGACATTCTGGGCCACCAGTACCGAGCTTGGAGGAGCGAGAGGGTCCGTTGGCTGCCTGGATATCCAGAGCCTGGTACATTGTGAACTGAGCCCAGAAGGGGTAGTCGTTGAGATGTAGGAACGTACGTCTTCCCTCCTGGGCCTCCCAGCGTAGCTGGTTCGGTGAGAGTGGCGGCTTGGATGTCCTTGTCGATATTCCATACAATTGGACTTACAATTAGGGCTGGAGGGAGAATTGGCTCAGATTCTGAGGGAGCATCTGGTGAGTGCATTCGTGACAATGCGTCCACCTTACAGTTACGGTTGCTAGGCCGATAGGTGATGGTGATGTGAAACCTGGTGAAGAACAGCGCCCAGTGGGCTTGACGGGGATTGAGTCTTTTTGCATCTCGGAGATATTGAAGGTTCTTGTGGTCTGTGACAACTGTGAAAGGATGATTAGCTTCCTCCAGCCAGTGCCGCCACTCTTCCAGGGCCAGTTTTATAGCGAGTAGCTCTCTGTTACCAATACCATAGTTTTACTCCGCTGGGGTCAGTTTCTGGGAGTAGTATGCGCAAGGCTGGAGGCATGGAGGCTCGCCATACAGTTGCGACAACATGGCCCCAACCCCGGTGGAGGACGTGTCCACTTCCACCACAAACGGGACCAGAGGATCGGGATGACGAAGGATAGGGGCCGTGCTGAAGGCGGTCTTGAGTTGCTTGAAGGCTTCGTGGGCGCTGGGGTTCCAGGAAAGGGACTTGGGCTTACCTCGGAGCAAAGAGGTTAATGGAGCTGAGTGCAGACTAAAATCCTTAATGAAGCGACGTTAGAAGTTTGCGAATCCTAGGAAGCTCTGGAGCTCCTTCACCAACTGGGGACGAGTCCACTCAGTAATGGCCTTTACCTTCCCCTGGTCCATTTGAATACCTTCTTGGCCGTACGTACCTAACGTACCCGAGGAACTGCACGGTGGGGCACAACATGGCCCCAACCCCGGTGGAGGACGCGTCCACTTCCACCACAAACGGGACCAGAGGATCGGGATGACGAAGGATAGGGGCCGTGCTGAAGGCGGTCTTGAGTTGCTTGAAGGCTTCGTGGGCGCTGGGGTTCCAGGAAAGGGACTTGGGCTTACCTCGGAGCAAAGAGGTTAATGGAGCTGAGAGCAGACTGAAATCCTTAATGAAGCAACGGTAGAAGTTCGCAAATCCGAGGAAGCTCTGGAGCTCCTTCACCGACTGGGGACGAGTCCACTCCTTAATGGCCTTTACCTTCCCCTGGTCCATCTGAATTCTCTCTTGGCCGATGACGTACCCGAGGAACTGCACTGTGGGGCGATGGAACTCGCACTTCTCCAGCTTCAGGTAGAGGTGGTGTTGGCAAAGCTTCCTGAGGACCTGCTTCACGTCATGGCGATGGTCGGCCAGGTTCCGGGAGTAGATGAGTATATAATCGATGTAGACGATTATAAAGTCATTGAGGAACTCCCGGAACACCTCGTACATAAACCCCTGGAAGACGGACGGGGCGTTGGAAAGGCCATATGGCATAACGAGATATTCGTAGTGGCCAGATGGGGTAATGAAGGCTGTCTTCCATTCATTGCCTTCCCGGATTCGAACGAGGTTGTATGTACTCCGCAGGTCCAGCTTAGAGAAGATGTGTGCCCCACGGAGTTCCTCTAGAGCAGCAGGGACCAGGGGAAGTGGGTAAGGATGCTTCACAGTCTGGAAATATAGCACACGGTAGTTAATGCATTGCCTCAAGCCCCCATCCTTTTTGCCCACGAAGAAGAAACTGGATGCAGCTGGTGATGTGGAGAGATGAATGAAACCCTGAGAAAGAGCCTTCTGGATGTATTCCTCCATAGCCTTGCACTCCGGGATGGACAGGAGGTACACTCGACCCTTGGGGAGTTTATTTCCAGGCAGCAGGACGATAGCGCAGTCCCATGGCCGATGAGGTGGTAGGTGAGTGGCAGCCTGCTTGCTGAAAACATCCTGGAACGCCACATAATCAGATGGGACAGTGGGTGTTTCCAACGGCTCGGGACTTTCGATGCGAGTGGAGGCTATTTGAGCCGTGCGAGGAGTTTGAGAAGGCTTGGGAAGGGCTGAGATGCAGTGCTGCAGGCAAAACTTGCTCCAGCGAGTTACCTCACACGAGTCCCCTCTGATTTCCGAAGAATGGAGAATGAGCCAGGGGCGTTCCAGGATGATATCCACCGTGGGTCCCTCCAGTACCAGAAAGGTGATCTCTTCCTCATGCAGGTTCCCGATCTTGAGCCTCAGCGGCGGAGCTCTGAATTTAACCCGGCCAAGCTCTCCTGTGGCGTAGCCAAACACTTCCTTGAAATGGTTAGTAAACGCTTCATAAGAATTGATTACGAGGCTTTTGGCATTCCATATTGCCTTCGCCCATGGTAATGCTCTGCCAGAAAGGAGAGAAATCAGAAAGGCTACCTTAGTGCGCTCGGTCGTGAATTTCTGCGGCTGCATTTCGATATATAGCGGCACTTGAAGGAGAAAGCTGCCACACTCCGCTGCATCACCCACATAGGAAGGAGGCATGGCCATGGGACTGACAGAGGCAGTTTGAGGAGTCGGTGCTGGCGTGAGAGTGGTGCGGAGTGCATTCACTAGCTCCTCGAGGACATCCGCAGGAGTGGGAAGTTGGGGATCCATGGAGATAACTGTTATGGTCTGGTCTTCTGTCACAGATCAAGCCAGAGACAACAGGTTAGTGAATGAAATAGCAGGTTTATTGATAGGAATGGATGTGGCAGATTGGCTGAAGCAAAGGCGGGTGAGTATCCAACACAATTGACAGTTCTTAATGATACTTAGTTGAGCTCTGAAGATGGGTTTCTTTGCAGGTATGCGGAGGGTATGGGATCCAGGAGCGAAGGAGATCAACGTAGGAGGAACCTTGGGAATCTAAGGGCAAGTAGAGACAGGTAAGTAGCATATAGTGAGTCTGGTAAAGTTCAGGGTAGTGAACGGTAGACCGGACAGTGAGTGACTGGAAGGAAAGTGCTTTTGAATGGTGGCTTGATTGCAGATGACAGGTGCGGGGAATCAGAACTCAGGTGAACGTGATCTGGTGTAAGTTGTGGCAGGTTATTGTGGTGACTCGCTGACAATAACACAGGGAATTCTGGGAATGTCAACTTAATGTTATTCCAACATTAACTGATGTGCTATTAACATTTGTCAACTTTATTAACGTGACTTACCACTAATATTTATTAATATTATTTATAATATTTATAATATAAAATTATAATATTTATTCCAAAGAGAAAGGAAAAATTGAAATCGCATCATATGACCCCTTTAAGGGAATTTGTGGACCTTGTGTACACTATTCAGGGCTCGACAATAAGAACTGCCTGATGGCCGGGGCCAGCGTGAAAGATGCTCCGGACAGTTGACGGATTTGTCACTGGCGCAATCGGGCCACTGCTGCATTGTCATGGAAGATTAGAATTTGTACATGTTTTGAAGCCTTGCCAATTTAAACATTGAAGCAATCTTTAATGTTTCAAGATGCGCAATACAACTCCATTCAGTACTCATGTGCTGTGTTCTGTGTGTACACCGCGCACACAGAAAGCCATGTCTCTGACAAAGCATAAGCCCTGAATTGATTCCTATTTCGCAATCTTTTTGCACTTTAACAGACAATTACACCTCGCCCATTTGAACATTCAAGCGATTTTAAAGAATTCAAGCACAAGAAAATGTGATATACAACTCCATTCAGTGTGTTATATGTGCACAGTGCGCAAATATAGATCCAAGTCTCAGGCAACATGCAAGCCCAGAATTTAGTTTCTTTCTGCGTATTTGTGCACTTGGACAAATACATACAAAAGTATTTAAAAATACCTGTATCCTCGAAAACAGTCAGTTGTGTCTTAAGTGTTAAGTTAACTTAAAGGAGACATATTATGCCCATTTTTACAATATGTAATATAAGTTTCTGGTGTCCCCAGAATATGTCTGTGAAATTTCAGCTCAAAATACTCTTTTTAACATTATATCATTAAGTCAAACAGTGTTCTGTGCTCGTCTGTGCAGCCAAACACAGAACAGTTAGCATGTTTTGCTCAAACTTTCTCGATGGCGTTAGAGCTGGTACATCGTTGTCGCTTGTGAAAACACAATAACGGCGCCGTGGGTGAAAACTTACAGATTAAGGGGCGGTAATATTATAATGAGATCCCTTTGCAATGTCACCAAGGGAGCGAAATCAGACGCGCTCGTTTTTTCAGAGGCTTGCAGAAAAAGGCTTCCCAAAACAAAGTTACTGGGTTAATCTTTTTCACGTTTCCTTGGTTGGTAGATGCACCGGGGACCTGATTATAGCACTTAAAACCTGGAAAAGTCAGATTTTCATGATATGTTTCCTTTAAGTTAACTTAAGTTAACAGTTGAGAAAGAAATAGGATACATGTCAGCATATTGGATGCATGCATGGTGCCTTAAAGTGACCGCACCTAATTTACCAGCTGCTGTCAGTGTCCTTAATGTTGAAAGAAAGAAAGAAAGAAAGAAAGAAAGAAAGACACTTACTGCGTTTGACTGAATAACTTTTGTGGCTTTAACAATTATTAATTTATTTCTAATTTATACAGTGAAGAAAATGCAGTTAATTTACATTTGATTATTCAATTTCTGTTTTTGAACACCTACAAACCTAAAAACATCAATGTGTCATCACGCACAATAAAAATCTATGCCACAACATTGCACAACCTCTGGTTGTAAAAAAAACTTGGAAAATTGGATAAACTTTCACAGGTAATGCCGAGTTCACACTGCACGACTTTCAAACTCGTCGGATCGCCGTTGTTTTCACACTGCGAGCTCCAGATATTTAGCATGCCAAATATTTCGCGGGCGTCGGCGACGCATCGGCGATTCCCAGATCACGTCTTTGATAATTCACACTGCGTGATTATCACTCGCGTGAACGAGCACCGATTTGCCTCCGATGTCGGGCATTTGTCGGCGATTTCTCAAAACTTGTCGGCGAGTGAAAAATCGGGATAAAATCGTGCATTTAAAAATACAATACTGACGTACTGACGACACTTAAAACTTAAATTATTTACGTATGAACAACTTCACAGACTTACAAATGAATCCTTATGAATATTGAAATCGCGGCATTAACATTTTATTATATTGTATTCAGTTGTCATATCAATGGCATTATGTTTTCAGTTGCATTTATTAAATGAAGTTTAGATACAAATATGAAAGAGATCCGCACTCCTCCAAATGCAGCTAAAAAAGCTTATTCCATTTATTGTTCAGAGGTCACAAAAATATGTAGAAAGAAGTGGCTAGATGATGATATTTTTGCAATACATTCATTATTGTGAATGCACTTATCTGTCTGTCATGTTTTTCTTTATAGGTACTGTACATATTTTTAAGAAATAGTTATGGTTAGATTTAGAGGTAGGAGTGGGATTAGCAACTATGAAAATATAAATTTTAATGCTATGTTGTTACTAAAACGGCCATTTCCCTGCATATTTTGGTCTATTATATTTTCTTTCTTTTTATGTTCTTTATATCTTTTTTATATTCGGTATAAAATGGGAAGCCCTAGGTTTGGGGGTATAAGGGGTCTAAAAATCTAAATCGCTTATGGATATAATTCTGAAAACACATTATACAAACATCTTAATGATATAAAAGATTTGTATTTTTTTTAACTAAAAGTAACGATCAAATTGCACATTTTAAATGTTGTAATACATCCAAATTGTATGTTTCAGCATCAATAAAACAAAAATGTACATTTTGTGCTTGTACATTTTATGTATTAGAATTTCATAATTTAATTACAAAATAAATGTAACTGTGATCTGCTACAGATACTGAGAAAAAAAAGTAATTAAATTACAGTTACTTATAAAACATTTTTTAACAATTACAAAGGAGTTACAACTGAATATTTTCTGCGAAAATCTAGGATATGTTGAATAATATTATTTTGTTGATTTGCCTGTTTTTGAATGCCTCATGCCGGTCGTTTAGTGAAGCAATGCTATTCTGATTCTCTTGATTGTTTCTCTTGTTTGAATTTGGAGCACACAACATCAGTCCATCAGTTGTCACTAAAAGCTTTAGGCAACCCCCTGTCTGAGAGATGCCACCATGGCAAGTGATAAAAATGCATTCCGATGCTTAATTCAAGTGATGATTCATTCAATTTGTAATCTGTAACCTATTACATTTCCAAAGTAACCTTCCCAACACTGATTAATAATACCTACATATAAACAATGAGACCAGGCTGGTTTAAATAAGCAACAAGACCATATTAGCTCTGACATTTAAAACCAAAGAAACGTGTTTGTGAATCAGGTTTTTTGCCTTCATTGTGGGAATCAAATTTCCCCAGAAATATAGTACAACTTGAAATTACTTACAGCTAATATGGGTCAGGCAACAAGGTAAATGGCTTATTGGGCATACTAAATAGCATTTTAATTATAATCCAACAAGGTTTATGTAAAGATTATGTTTAAGGTTAGAGAATAGAAAATGTATTTGGTCAAATAAAAACAATAAGTTAATAGTCAATGGAAAATTGAAACGTGTGTCTGAGTGTATGTTCTTCACCTCAAAGTTATGGTCTGTGTGGCAGGTACAACCAATACATCGTCCCTCAATCTTAAATGCCGGTTCACCTTGTTCATTCTCAACCGTGAATTTAGGTTGGCAAATATGCCAGTTGTGTTGAACATATCCAATGGCAGTGCCTGGTGGAGACTGAACCTCTAGCTAAAAAACAAATACAAGATATAATATATAACACACAACATAATTAAAACCTAAACAAGATGGGAATAACATTCATACCTTATTTCTGCCGCAGCAGCAAACAAACGGGCGCACCATTCTGATGACCACTTGATTAGAGACATCAGTAACATTCATTATGAAAGAATGTGCGCCAGGACAGAAAGACCTGTCACAACACTCGCTGTCCTCAAGAATACTGAAAACCTCTTTCCCAGTGTCATCTTTAACATTATATCTCTGGACAGGCTTTATTCCACAGCAAACTTTAAGAAATGAAAACATAGGAGATAAGAATGTGGTTCACTTGATTTTGCTCCATTTCATTCATGAAATGCTAATGAACAAACCTTCTCCAAGACATTCTTCTGTAGTTTCTTTTTTGTAAACAAACAATTGATCCATCTAAAACATACAGTAAAATTACAGGCTCCTTGCAGTGAACATTGCTGTGAAATAAATGCATTTGTCTAAGTCAGAGTAACATGCTAATAAACATTATTATTCATATTTTTAAAAAGCATCTCCAGTCTTATCTGACCCTGATTAAGGTCTCCAGATGAGAAGGACAGTGGTACGGATCTGGGGAAGGAATCATTACGCTGTCCTCTAGTGGAACATAACCAGACATGCCTGTGTATGTATCAAGCTTTGTTAAGCAAAACATTACAAACCGAAATCTTTAGTCTATTATGAATGGAAAATGAATGAAAATCATTCCTACACAACATTCTGTCAAGTTTATGAACTTCATATATGCAGATCACAACTTTAATAGTCACACATTTGATTCAACAGACTGGTTTAAATTTGTAAGCAATCCCTTGTGAAAAAGAAGTGTGCTTAATTGTATTAAATGTGCACTTGTACTTCAAATCTTAAAAGTATTTTTTTAAAAGTACTTGCAGATTGTTTAATATTAATGAAAAAAGTCATAAAGTGTACTTATGACTAAGTGTCTTAACACACTTTAGTACACTTTAAAGGTTTTATATTATTATTTAATGTTATTTATTAATGTTATTTTGTCATCATTTAAATTTCTCTTATGTTGATGTGTTGACTAACATCCTAAAGCAAATGTAAGTACTAAATTATAGTTTTATCTGTTTTATTTAAGTGTGTTATTTGATATTATATTTAAAGTTAATATATTTTAAATTGCAACAATAAAAATATGTAATTAGACAAATATACTGTATTAAATACATGGCATATATGTTTCAATAAAATGGCATTAAAAATAGTTTAGTTAACTACAAGGCTTATCAGCACATTAGAAAGTACACTTTAACCATATTTCAAAGACAATAGAAGTAATTGTGACCCTGACTGTGAAAATGCAGCTAAAGACATTTTTTGTGTGTGATTTACTCATAGGATTAAATCATCCTTCATAAGATTAAAAAAACCATACAAAAAAAACATTGTAATTTCACAGACAGGGTCACAATTATGAAAATAAATCCTACCTTTGTGAGTCAAAAAAGCACTCTTAAGTTCAACTAACTGCATTCATTATACATTTTAACTATTTTATTTTAATTGTAAATAACATAAATCTTTAAAAACATTGCATTCAATTCACACTTAAGTATATTATTTTAAAATACATTATTACTGAATTAGGAACCCTTTTTAAAAGTATGCTGAAGTGTACTTGCTTTTCACAAGGTCTCTTATCTTGCCTTTACAAAGTGCCTATTGTAGTAAAAAAAAAAAAAACGAGGATAGATAGACAACCCCACCTTTAACAAACTCACCTGACAATTCCATATTGGATTTTTACCTGGGAAGACAATATTAAAGCAAAACAAATTAAATTTAAATATTTTTTGTTGTTGTTTACAGTGTTAAATGTCCTTTTCTATCATTATTTATGAAATATGAAATATTATGACATAAGTTTAAGTGATTGCATACAGTGAGAGAGGTATCATACCAATGAGATACAATTCGTCTGTTAGGCAGTGTCGCTGATGAATACAGTAAATTCTCATGACACACAATCTTGAGTACTAGTACTTTGTGTGTGTGTGTGTGTGTGTGTGTGTGGTTGACCAGGGCAGGGGTCTGATCCACTTTCTAGGTTAGTCATTTCTAATTTTAAGCTTGAAAATGTTCCATAGGCTAATTATCACTCTGGTAACTTAATTTAGGCTAAGTAAACAAATATGTCATAAAGGTCTCAGACCTATAAATGATTGCAGACATTTTTTCCCCCTTGATTTCCTTGTTTGTAACTGAACATCCAGAAAAAAAATTTTTTACCTTTCACAAAAACTGCATAATGAGATACAATTCGTCTGTTAGGCAGTGTCGCTGATGAATACAGTAAATTCTCATGACACACAATCTTGAGTACTAGTACTTTGTGTGTGTGTGTGTGTGTGTGTGTGTGGTTGACCAGGGCAGGGGTCTGATCCACTTTCTAGGTTAGTCATTTCTAATTTTAAGCTTGAAAATGTTCCATAGGCTAATTATCACTCTGGTAACTTAATTTAGGCTAAGTAAACAAATATGTCATAAAGGTCTCAGACCTATAAATGATTGCAGACATTTTTTCCCCCTTGATTTCCTTGTTTGTAACTGAACATCCAGAAAATTTTTTTTTTACCTTTCACAAAAACTGCATATTAAAAAAAGATTAAGCTTCAAACCAAAGCATTATAAGACAAGGCACTAAATAAAATAATGAGCAAATAAGAAAACTAAAGAAAAAGAAGATGCACGTTTAAAAAATCAAGATAAGCCTGCAAATGGTTGAACCACACAAAAAAAAACAGAACATTTTAAATTTCACCATCTTTATGTTCAAGTGGAGGGTCACATATCTTTGACTCCGACTATTTGCATTTTCTGCAACTGAAGGCTTGCATTTCTGACACTTTGGTATTTGAAAACTGCTTTTCCACCAGGTCTGTGAAAGGGAAAATGAATTATTCAGTGGTTTTGAATGTGTTTTTGATGTATTATAATTTGCATTGATATGTATTATAATTTATTTGTTCTCTGTTTACCTTTCAAATCTTTACTAAATCCTCATCAAACAGCATGAGTGTCTATTTTTATCCTCTTGTCTGTTGTCACGGCACTTAGTAAACAGAGTTCAATCCCAAAGTCACTGATATTGTTATTCGAAGCAATAAAGCAACATGTGTGTATTACAGGCTATGTTTTAAAGGCGTCATATGATGTTGCTAAAAAGAACATTATTTGGTGTAATGAAATGTGTTTATGCGGTTTAAGGTTCAAAAAACACATTATTTTCCACATACTGTACATTATTGTTTCTCCTCTATGTCCTGCCTTTCTGAAACGTGTCGATTTTTACAAAGCTCATCGGTCTGAAAAGCGAGGTGTGCTCTGATTGGCCAGCTATCCAGTGCGTTGTGATTGGCCGAATACCTCAAGCGTGTGATGGAAATGTTACGCCCCTTCCCATACTGTGATGCCGTGTCCCGGAGCGACGAGACAAAAACATTCAAACCCATTATAAACGAGGCATTTGTTGCATCGAGTGGGGACATAATTATGGATTATAATGACTTATACTGTCTTTTTACGCATTGCATCGCACTGCGTAAACATAAAACCACACAGTCTGCATTTGTGATCGGAGAAATGACAAACAACAAGTGCTACTCTACACTGCTCAAAACTTGCGTTTGAATCATCAGTGGCAAATTCTTTAAATATGAAAACGTACTTACAGTCTGTGAGTCAGAACAGCCGGCATTGTAGTCTACTCTCCCAGGATCAGGAAACAGTCCTCGTGTTTAAACGAGGCGTTTTAGGAGGGCTTGGACCAGTCTTAACTTTTATAAAGAATATCTCTTTGGGTTTGAGACTTTAGTCTATGCAACTTTAGGGATCTTATCTATTCACGAACAGCTTGTAACACTCCAAAACGAAAGGAAAACTTGAAATCGCATCATATGACCCCTTTAATGTTGATAATTGTGGTTCTCTTTCTTGTCTTCGGGAGACGTCTGTTTCAGCATGTGTCTAATAGGCAATAAGAACTTTAGCTAGCACTAAAGAATTTAGGAGGTGTGTTCATCCATGTGAGTGTTTTCTGACACCTGATGACACACATGAGATATGTGTTATGTGTCTGGGTGAGGAGTGTGCATGCTCAGTCCTTGAGCAAAAACGTGCCAGCGTTTTTCTATGAAGAACTTCACTCTCATCTGTCCATTTTCTCGAGAGAATCAGGACAGCCATCTCTGCCTCGTGGTTCAGGGCCTACTGCAGCTGAGGCAAGTAGGAGACTGTATTCGTGGGGTTCACAAGTTTAAGAGAGGTATGAGTATTTCTCAATCATTGGCGGCTGGCTAGAGCGAGCTGCTGGATGATGACGTGCTGCCTGCCATGTCTTCTGATCCGGCATCCTCGCCTCAAGCCAAGATGAGCAGAAAGAGGCTGCTGAGTTTGACGATGTCTCTGAGCACTCACAGCCTGCCTGCCCCACCTATGATGAGATGTTGAATGTTATGTCTCACGCCATGAAAAGATTAGATCTGCCGTGAAAGCGTGAGAAGTGTAAGCCCCCTTGTGGTCACCTCGATTAACACTTTTTGTCAACATAACCACCTAGCTCGTAGTCTTCCCTTTCTCCCAGATTTTCACACTGAGGTGCAGAGATCTTGGGGAAAGCCATTTTCTGCCTGCATTCATTTCTCACAGGCAAATTATGCTGTTGTGGAGGGGATGCGGGAATACGATTATATGTCGATGCTTCTGACTGAAGAGACACTGGCTAGCTATCTCTCAGGTTGGTAAGGCAAACGCATTGAAGACACCATCTCTGCCAACTAAGCCGCTACGCATTACATCGCTGTTGAATAGCAGCGGGACAGACTGGGGTGGCTTTGCACCTGATGACTGTGTTGCAAGCCTACCAGGCTGATTTGCTGAAAGACCTGCACCAGGGCCTTCGCAATACCAAATTTTTGAAGGCATGCTCCGCGGCTTTTAAAACACTTATACTGCACCGGTCTGGGCCCGTGTGTCAAGCTGTTGAGGGGGCTGGTTCATCCCGGTCTGAGGACTGGAGACGAAACCAGAAGGTGTGCACCACCCTTTTGTGCTCCCCTTCCTTTGAGGAGCAGAGCATGATGCCAAAGGTAGGAGGAAAGACATAAGGGGAGTGATCCAGAGCAATCTATCTGAACGCTCTAGGGTCCCAGAGACTAAATAACATCTGCCTTCTCCCCCTCCCCCCTTCCATCTCCTGACTGAGGTTAGGTAGGGCTTCGGCCACGCTTTTACATCTGGCCCTGAAACTGAACCTATGATGTTTCTGGTAGCATGCTTCTATTCCATCATCTGCCTTACTGATGATTCAGTGCTAGAGGCTGGATGTAAATGCATTGTTTATGTGAATAGCATACTAAGTAGCAGGCTCTTCCTTAGCCAATATGGTTACTGTTTGATATATTTAGACCTCCTCTCGTTTCAGAGATTTGTCTTCATTGAGATCTCCTTAGAGCTCCGCTATATCAACCGCAATTTGTAGGCTTTCTATAGGTCTCCTTGAAAAATGCCAAGAGTGCTGGGCGTAGTTAGGTCTCCTCTCAATTTAGAGAGTTGTTATGCTGAGACCTCCGCTCCTAGAGCTCAGCCAATAGTTAGCTGAGGTGTCAGGCCCTTTTTGAGCCTCCGTGGCTACTGCAAGCATTTTTAGGTCTCCTCTCATTATAGAGAGTCATTTTTAGTGAGACATCTGCTCCTCAGATAGGATAGTTATTGTGAGTTGTAGGTTTTCTTTAAATCTCTTTGCGTAATGTCCTAGTGTGGAGTGTAGTTAGGTCTCCTCTTGACTGGAGAGTTGTCATAATGAGGCCTTCCCTCCTAGAGCTCACCTCTGTAAGTGTAGGCTTGCTTTGAGCCTTCTCGCAAAATGTTCTGAGCGTGGGGTGTAGCTAGATCTCCTCTTGATTTAGAGTCGTTATGTTGAGATTTCATGTTCATGTTCTGATTCTCACGTTACCTTGAGACCCCGGCCTGGTTATGTGCACAAGGTTCCCACCACTCCCTTTTGGGATCAGGTGGTGAGCCTGCAAGCGATGCCCTTGAAGGAAGCAGACTCGGCCCTCGCGTTGCTGTGTCCCGTCCGCACCTTGCGCATTTATGTGGAACGCACCCGGAGCTTCAGACGCTCCAAGCAGCTCTTTGTCTGCTTTGGAGGACAGCAGAAGGGCATGGCTGTCTCCAAACAGAGGTTGGCTCATTGGTTGGTGGATGCCATCAACACTCAACACTCATCAACACTGGATGAAGTCAGTTTCAAAATTCTTGTTTTTTTTTTTTGACATATTAGAGGCAAATTGTTTTTACAGAGGGAATTTTGGGTATCTCTTTTTGTCACTCCATAATTCAGAAAATACTTTGAACAGCCAGAAAACAATATATTTTCAACATTTTGGGGGAAATAAAATTTTGTATATAATCAAGCAAATTATATATGAACAAATCCCTCTTTAAAAACCTTCAGAATATAGACAGGAATAAAAATGCAAAGTTTGGTGTGTGTAAGTGGTACTGAAGTGGAGATTTATGGCTCAGTGTAGGAGAAAAAACTCATTTTGAGAAAACGGCCTTTAAAAATATGTATTGTCATTTAAATCTATTGACACACATAGATAAAGTGCTATAAAAGAAACACTTAACAGTGTCTTTTGGATGTTTTCTTTCCACTAGTCTGAAAAAACACTTTATGAAAAGCCAAAAAGCCCAAAAAGTGCTTTTGCCTGCAGTGTCTTCTTTTAATA